AGATAGATAGATAGATAGATAGATAGATAGATAGATAGATAGATAGACGCTGCTAAAGTCTGCAGGTTATTTGTCCAGACGATTTTCTCAAATAACCTAAACTTAAATGGTGGGGGAAAACCTAGAGAACCAATTTATGCTCAGGGAAAGCAGGCAACCTCCACACATCAGGGTTCGTTATCAGTTTTTCGCTGTACAGTAGACGCATTTTGTACTTTTTAAATTGTCACTGCGTACCGTGAGAAAGGGAAAAAAAGCCACACTTTTCTCCCTTTTCTTTGTTTAAATCAAAGCTTCTATTTAATGTTTCTACGTTCCAGATCAGGGAGTTGGAGCCTCTTCTATGCCAGCCGGGTCGAACATCCAGGGTCGTGTGGACGTCCTCGAGCAACGCCAGTCGCTCTGCCTTCAGCATCAACGATATTCAGCACAAAAGTGGAACAGAACCCTACAGCTCATCCAAATATGCGTCAGACATGCTCAGCCTGGCTCTCAACGGACACAAGAACAACCAGGTCTGTCAGAGCTGGAACAGGAATCCAAACACTTCCGTTTTGTAAGTGAAGGTGCCTGTATTACCGATGAGAAGATGGCATGAAAATTTCTTTGTGACAGGGGCTGTTTTCCTCCGTCATCTGTCCCGGATTGGTGATGACGAATCTAACCTATGGCATCCTCCCCTCTTTCTTCTGGACTCTGATCATGCCCATAATGTGGATTGTGAGTTGTGATTTTCGTGGTGCCCGTGTGCATGTTGGGCTCTGTTCCTAACAGGAGCTCATCTCATGGTGTCATGCGTCTCTTTTATCTCCCCCAAAACAGATACGAATATTCACCAACACCTTCACGCTGACACCATACAACGGAGCGGAGGCATTAGTATGTCACCCCTTTGATTCTCTCAAAACAATTCTGACCTGTCTACGGTTGGAAAACAGTTAAAAACATACTCCTGCTCTGGTCTTTCACAGTATTGGCTGTTTTTTCAAAAGCCTGAATCTCTGGATCCAAGAGCAAAGTATCACAGTTTAACGTCAGGCCTCGGAACAAACTACACAAAGCCTCAACAAGTGAGTGCCTCATTTAGGCATGTGAAAGGAATTCAAACTGTTTTAAAAACTCCTGTTTTTTATGTGTTGCTTGAGAAGCTTTAGTACATGTTGCTATTTAGGGTTTCCTTAAAATAACATCTCACTCGAAGCGCTGTTTTCATGTTTCAGATGGACATCGACGATGAACTGTGCGAGGTGTTCTATTCAAAACTTCTTGAACTGGAAACAGAAGTCAGAAGGAAACTAAGCAAGAGCGATGCTGATAACGAAGCCTATCAGCGGTACATCAGTCACGTAGATTAGCGCTCAGTCTCAAAACAGAAAGTTTTGCTCTCTTAAAGATCGATCATGCACTGCACTTGTTTGTAGGTTGGACTCTTAAATAATCAGTGATGTTTGCATGGTTGCTTTAAACATCACCAACTTTAGACAATTTCTAGATTTTATTTTATTTTTTTCAATGTGGTGCTTTTTTTTAGATTTTCACACTAATCTGTTCAACATGCTCCCAAAATGATGGGTGTAGTCTTTAAGACTATGTTTAAGGCAAAATTATCCCAGAAATGTTCCTGTCATATTTTTGTGAACTTGTGCCACAAAACTTCAAATTTTACTTCACATTGTGAATTTTTAAAATGGAACTCAATTGCATTGTAGAAGAAAACTTCACATTTCTTGCATATGCATTCGTAAAATAATATTCATGTCAGCCATGTACTCTCCATGTGCTTATTTCAATTTTTTTACCAGGTTAGAAAGTGAGGGGCTTACTTTTTAACTGAATGTTGAGTCAAGCCGTCAAGTCATCGTTTGCATTATATTACATGTAACTATAGAGACAAGGAGAGAAGATTCGGCTGTGCTGAGGTCAGAACACCACAGAAATGGTATTACATTTTATCGCGAGTTTCTTTATTATCAGAGCATCTCGGTATGTCGTACTGACTGCTTTGTGCTCTGTGCTGACATCTTTTCGCTTTGCAAAGTTCCGTTTAAATAAAATTACTATCTCTTACCCCCTCAACAACATTTATTTGTCTCTCTCTGGAAATACAATTTTCCACCGCAGGTATCCAGTTGGTCATCTGGTAATTTCTGCATCAAGTGCCTGAACACCAGTAATACCGTGTGCTTGACCCACATGACACTGGCTGGTCAGGTTTGAATAACTGGAACTGTGTAGGTGTGCCTGACTGCCCTATTCAAATAATTTCATTTGAACTCTCCACTCATATGATTAAATAAACTAAATAGACACCATTTAAAACTGTTCTTGAGTAGAAATTTTAAATATATGTAATTAGACGTCAGCATTTTCTGTCCTTTAAATTCCATCACATTCTTTATTAATTATTTTTCTTTTTTGATCATTTTGATCATGGTCTGTATTTTTGAATGATTTTGTGCTCAGACATATATTTTGTCTGATGAAAAGTCTTTGCAATGGTTATTTCTCATTTTTAGACTTCTAAATACATTTCAGTAAAAGGCTGAGCTGTTAACACATAAATATTATTGAGTGTTTCGGTCTTTTCGAGTATAAACAATATACCAGTCAATGTAAATCTGATGGCAAGTTATCTCCATTGTTCATAATCTATGGGGGGAAAAAACGTTTAAAGATACAAGGGCAAGTGATCACTCGCAACTTATTCTGCAAATAGCAGGCTTGACAAATATATTCCCAACAATGGTGACTCAGCATGCCCCTGGAAGTCCAGACCACATCACTTTCTGCTTTTGACAAACTGACAAATCCCTCCTAATCTCAGGATATCCATCCCTGCTGTGTCAGCATAAAAGCATACACAGGTGTCAATAGGTTTTAATAGAAAATCCTAGAGATCAATGTTTACAAAAGTTTCTCTGCACTTTAGTTAGAGCATATGGATTTATTTCACTTGGAAAATATGTGTTATTCAATTAGACCGTCTATGTTTTTCTACTTTTGCGATCTTCAGCGTTTGAGCAGAATCCACGTTTACTGCTACAACTAAACTACCCATCTTAACAGGAGGGAGCTGACAACCTGACATCTGCGAAATTAAAGCCCGGGTTAATAAACGGGGAGGTGAAGGCGCATCCTTACATAATGTAAATAAAAACATTGCATCCACCGCGTGCTCACAGTGATGCGCGCAGCGTGAAGTCCCGGATGATGCTCGCACCGGAAGAGAAGGGGCAGCTCTCCCAGCCATCTTGTGGCAGCATCCAGCGAACTGGTCGCAGCAAGCCTCGTAGAATCGGAGGTGAATCCCGCTGAAGGGGCGCCATCATGCCCGGACACCTGCAAGAAGGCTTCGGCTGCGTCGTAACCAACAGGTTCGACCAGTTATTGGACGACGAGTCCGACCCGTTCGAGATCCTGAAAGCGGCCGAAAACAAGAAGAAGGAAGGGGCCGCTGCTGGTTCCACCAAGACCGCGGCTCAAGCCGCCAAGCAGCCGAAGAAGGAGTCGCAGAAGGACAGGAAAAACCCGCTGCTGGACAAAAAGGAGGACTCTCAGGCCCCGGTGCCCCTGAAAAAAGAAGGTAAAAGTTGCACCCATTTCGCCGCATATAGCTTTGTTTTGTGTTTTATTTTTTTATTTTATTTTATTTTTTAAATATCATTTGCGGCTCCTGCTAGCTTCATTAGCTGCTGGGCTGAGCGAGAAACAGCGTGAGGTCAACATGGACCCTGTCCTGTTGTTATTAGAGGACACGGCGTTAACGACCACGGGCGTAGGGAGGCAAATATTCGGGGGAAAGTGGCGACAGAAAGGCAGAGATAATAGAGAAAATAAAGCCGCCGGCCAAGTCCCGAGCCGAACAAAAGTGGCGAGTGTCGCACGTAAGGTTTCCCTCGAGCATCCCGGAGGAGGCGTGCAGCGTCGGGCTGCTGGCGGCTGATGCTCGGTGTTCGGCTTCTCGCTAGCTCGACTGAGCTTTGCCGCCGAGCCGAAAAAAGGAAAAGCCGAGCCGGCGCTCAAAGTGAGCTACGCGGACCGGGTCCGACGCAGTTTCTGGGTCCCGGCTTGTCAAACTTTGCATTCCCATGACCGAAACCGTCATTCAGACCCGGGCTGACCGTAAACTCAACCCGGCTGTGGGGGTTAGTGACGTGAGGTTGGGAGAGACGGCAGCGCGAGCTTTTGTTTACGCACGTGCGCTTGACACTCAAGCCTGCAGCCTTGTAAACGTTATCTCTGGCGCGTTTTTACTAGTGTGTTTCGTTGATTTGCTCTGGCCTGCAGGCATCAGGCGGGTGGGCAGAAGACCGGACCAGCAGGGCCAGCCTGGATCCCAACACCAGGGCGGGCAGGGTGAGGGGCGACCTGGAGACAAGAGGCCGGACCGGAGGCCACCTCGCGAGCGCCGCTTCGAGAAGCCCGCTGAGGAGAAGCCAGAGGGAGGAGGAGAGTTCCCCACAGACAAGTGAGCATCCCCGATCACAGGGTTCGACCCGCGAATGTCACAAGATTCATTCAGAACTGTTGTGGCCGTCTGTATGGAGGCGATGTTTAGAACTTTCTTTGATTTGTTTGTTTGTTTTTATCCCACAGGCCCTCTGGAGACAGGCCCCTGAGAGGGCGTGGTGGCGGCCGGGGTGGGCGTGGCGGAAGAGGACGGGGCATGGGCCGGGGAGATGGCTTTGACACGCGCGGGAAGCGAGACTTCGACCGACACAGCGGCAACGAGAAATCGTGAGTTGGACGTCGGAGGGAACTTGCTATAGAAGCAGGGGGCAGGGATCAGCGAGCTCTCAACCTGGAGGAATCGGAATGGACTTCCGACGATCATTTTCCCCCCAATTTCTGTCATTTTGAGTGACAGAGACGCTGCCGCTTGCATTCGGTTTCCTTTAGGTTATCAGGATAGAGTCCACGTCACCAAAGCCTTGCAGCACTTTTCCCCCCCGAGCGGTTGAGTTAGATTGCAATCAAATGAAAGCGCTCTCCTGTTCACTAGTTAGCAGGGATGTGCCTCTGGGCTGGTTTGCAAAGAGACGGGAGTCCACAGTTTAGTTGAGGTGTAAGAATGCAGCTTTAGGAGAAGCTGTTTATTTTCTCAGAGAAGTTTTCCTTAAACCTCACTTCAAAGATGCTGAAATATCACCCAAAAAACCGTAAAGGGGGCTGTTATTGGAGGGTAAATTAACGGCATGTCACATAGTTGAATGGAGGGGCCATTGTTGAGCTTGAAAGGTGCTTGGTGGAGCTTTAAGATGTGCTTTATCTCTTCGGGTCCGTCTGCAATGTTGCAATGTCGATTTCTTTTGCAGATTTCTCAGAATGAATGGGGGGGGGACAGAAGTCGGTTTGTGACAACAGAGCAGTTTGTTCCGGGAATAAAACTTTAAGCGGATTTGTTCTCCAACAGTTATGTTTTAAGGCTCAAGGTAAAAGTGCCCAAAGTCCATAAAGGGGTTGTAACACATCCATGGCCTGATTTTGGGGTGAAGCAGCTGAACTTTTCTCTCCGGTTTGTCTGCATTGACGAGGAGATGCAACACGTATTATTTTGCATGATCTTGCTTGAATCTTTGGCCTCTGTAGAGATGTGGGCGAAAATTAAGCAACTGGGGGCGGGGGGAAACAATTTTGGAAAATCCCCAAATTTTTGGACAAATCGCATATTTTTTATTGTATGAAGATGAGGATCAAGATTTTTCCAGATGTTTTAAAAAAAATCTTTTAATTCATTTTTAAGTTGGAAAAAAAGAGGCCCTCTGCTTAACTCAGGAGGCTGCAAGGAAAGTAGTTTTCTTTCTTCTGATGCCTAAGCCGTTAATGGGGGTTTAGTACCGTCTTCTTTTTTTTTTTTTAATCAATGTATTTTTCTAGATATCCTGTTACATGTTCCACACTCAGGCCTAATACTGTTGGAGCTCATTTCCACCGCAGGCTCTTCACACCGCTATGTTTCCAAGCCTCTCTTCACGAGCTTGGTCGTTGTTATTTTCCCGCAGCAATCCTAAAACCGAGGAAAAGCGCAGCGGCGCCGGCTCGCACAACTGGGGCAACGTGAAGGAAGAAGCAAGGTGATTTTTTTTTTTTCACGTCTTACATCCCTGTTTAACCCGTTTAATCCCATCCACAATGCAATGAAGGAGTAAACGTGTTTTGTGTTTTTTTGTCATTGCTCCCAGCGAAGCTGAGCCAACTGCTGCTCCTGAGACGACCCCAGAGGGCGAGGAAAGCGCTCCGGCTGGCTCCGAGAACAAGTGAGCACCACTCTTCTGTTTTTAATTGATTTTATTTTATTTGAGAGTTTTGGAGGTCAGCAAAGGGAACTCACTGGTTAAGCAGCCCTTTGAAAAGCTGTCCACTCTCAGGAAGTGGCCGCAAAATAGGATCAGCATTGTAACTGTTCCCGGGGATTAGAGAGAGCGAGTGGGGGGGGGGGTGGATGGCAGTTTGAGTTTGATGTTCCTGCGTTTGCCTTTCAGAGAGAATGAGGTGGATGAAGTGAAAACCGAAGGCCCCAAGGAGATGACCCTGGACGAGTGGAAGGCCATGCAAGACAAGGAGCGCACCAAGGTGGAGTTCAACATCCGCAAGCCCAACGAGGGCGCCGACAGCCAGTGGAAGAAGGGCTACGTGCTGCACAAATCCAAGAGCGAGGACGTAAGTTGGCGCGACCTGTTCGGCTTCGGCTCCACTCCTCCAGTACTCTGAGCCCGGACGCGAAATCGGTCAGTGGCCCTCCCGGTCAGACGATAAAGCTCGCAAAGGCGTAGCTGTCTGGGAGGGGTACCCAAAACCATGAGACAAAAAAGCCTCTACAAAGAGCAGCAACAGAGCACGGTGGCCCTGGCTGCGGTTTCCAGGCCCCTCAGGGAGCCACACGCTGCCAAAGTGTGCCACAGTTGACCCTGTAATGTGGGCGTGTTATTACTGTGGCATATTTAACTGATACTTGTGTTCTAATGCAAGATTAGGAGATGAAATGTGGACTGTCTGTTGTCTCTTTTATGGAAAAAGATGGTCGCGTTATAGTTTGACTTAAAGGCCTGTGGCCTACGACATACTTGGACTGCTTGGGATCTCGGTCTTATTTTTGATTTGCTTTCAGAGGCCAGTCGGTGCTTTGATCGACGCCCCCGAGACAGAACCAGAACCCCCGGCCGTCTACCAAAAGGTACCCCCCCTCTCTCGGCTGTTCAGCCGCGTTGCTGGTGAAAACAGCCCGTCTAAGCGCGGGGGCTTTCCTCTTTTGGCAGGGCGCCGCCGACGAGTCCGCCGACCACCACTTCCGCAAGCCGGCCAACGACATCACGTCTCAGCTGGAGATCAACTTTGGAGACCTCGGCCGGCCCGGTCGCGGACGCGGGGGCGCTCGCGGAGGCCGAGGGGGCCGCGGCGGGGGAGGCAGCCGGACGGCACGCGGGGGCGGACGGTCCGAAAAGGTAATGACAAAGGCCCCCTGCGGCCGCCGACCACAAAGGCCGGGTGGCCCCTCATAAAAGCGCCAGCTTTACTGGCCACGAGCTGAAACAACAGCGGAGAGGCCAAAGCTCTGCCTTTTCACAACCCTGACCTCCCGTCGGTCCCGCGGAGCCGGCTCCAAGCCGAGCTCAGCCGGCAAAGGTTTCGGACCAAAGGCTGCGTCCTCGTTTCTGCCGACGCAGCAAAGAATGCCGTTTTGTGCCAAGTCAGCAAGGAGCCTAACGGTAGCACTGTGGCAAAGACAAGCTTTTTCACAGCGGATAAGTTCAGAGTGTTTACCTGAGTGAAAACAGGAATACTGGGAAAGGATTGGGTGGTTTGGGATGTTTATGGAATCATTTTCAGCAGCAATGTGCTGTAGTCACCCTTTTTTATTTTTTATTTTTTACTTGGCGGTGAACCAGATATCTTTGTCAAAACTGCAGTTTTTCTCTAATCTGATTGGCTGTTTACGAGTGGATGAGAAGGACGATGGAACATACCGCACAGGACGTCTTGAACGTCCAGCCGCCTTTATTCATGCTATTTTTGGGCATCTGAAGAGCACGAATAAAGGCGACTGGGGCATGATGTCGTTTATACGCGTGCACGAGACAGCTGAGGGACATAGTGGGCCGGTTTCATGTGACACCCCAGCCAATCGGGGCCCCAGCAGTCTGCCGTCGGCCCCCCATGGAACCCTGGCCGAGTAGGTTGTAGCTGTTTAGTGGGGCCAGCCCACAGTGGAAATGTGCTGTTACAGGGTGGAAGGCTCTTTGGAAAACGCCAAAGCAGCCAACGCAGTTGCTGTCTCCCATCAGAACAAAAAACTGTCACTGGCGTAAACATTTGTTTTGGCTACGGAAGGAGGGGACCCAGAGCTTCGCCATATGGATTCTCACAACTGCCTTACAATTTCGGGGATGATGTCCCCGCTAGGTTTGTCCCGATAAGATATTTGGATCGGATCGGCCGCCGATATTCGCAAAAAACTACGTATCAGCCGGCATGAGAAAATTATCCAGACTGCCGATCCAGTTTTTGTTTAGAGTCCGGTCCCACACGAGCACTAGCATCTCCTAACCCACAGCTCTGTGTCCTAACCATTAAGTTGTTTTAAGAGTAAATCCCTGTTCAGTATGAGTGTGACAACTAAGTAAGTAGGCTAAGTAACTTTAAACTTTATTACATGCTCTAATATGCCGTTATCAGATCAGAAGTGCAAACACAATATCGGTATCGAGGGACATCCTCAGTCCCCGCTTACCCGTCGGCTCGTTCTTCGTTTGCTGTAGTTTTAATCTCATGGCGCGAGGCGTCCTCAGTGCCTCACTCTGGCTGCCGATGCTGCCCACTGATTGTCTTGTGTCTGCTCCCACCAGGCAAGCGGAGCATCGGTCCCCAACGTGGACGATCCCGAGGCCTTCCCAGCCCTGGCCTGAACGCGCCCCGTCTCTCACCTCCAGCCCACCCCATGTGCCCTTCCGGGGCCCCTCCTCTACGAGGCTTGCATGCTTACCACATCTTCAAGTATATGAAAAAGAAAAAAAAACAGAGTGAAAAAAAATTGACCAAAAAAAAAAAGGACTGTCATCCAATACCATTCACAACACCTGAGGACTAAAATTTTATCAGTTTTAAAGAACAAAAGTTGAAAAAACAAAAAGATGAAAAAGGACCTCTTGTTACACTGAAGTTTTGTATTTAGGAACATGAAAGCAGGGATGTTTTCATTTTTAGGTTGTTTTTTTTTTTTCCCCAGAGGTTATGCATACTTCATTGTTTTGTTTTTTTTTTTGTTTTTTTTGCTGCTTGAATTTGTGCATTTGCGATTAAGTTGAAGTGTGTGCATCTCTTTCCCTCTGAAAGCTTTTGTGCTTTTTCTCTTTTTCTTTCATTTATTCCCCTCGTGACTTCAGCTCTGTATTATGAGGTCGCGAGATCATTGGTAGAAAAGACACAGTAATACACACTGATGTTGTAGCACAACACTACATATGAAATTAGTACTCGATGTCTGAAGTACAGTTTAAGATGCATTTAAAGTGGAGTTACTTGGGTCCTGACCACCCATCATCCTTTAGTGAGGCACAAATTCAAGATGGGTTACCAGCAAAGTGACTTCATACTAAAGATTGGTATTTTTATCTGCTTGTTGTGCAGTGAAAAATGCCTCTAATCCTTTTTTTTTCTTTTTGTTTTGGTGGACCAGTGGTTTAGTATCGCCTTTTAAATCCCCTGATCCAGATGTGCTACCTGTGTTTTTAGGGGGTGTCCCTGGGCCCAGTGTATCTTTAGGCTGGTCCTCTTAGGTCACACAGACTTGCTACTTGTACATTCAGGACCACTAAGCAAATATTGTGTGCATTTTCTTTTGTTAATGATACATGCGTGTGCTTGTGTGTGTGTGTGTGTGTGTTTGTGTGAGTGCGTGCGTGCGTGCGATTGAGGCAAAGCGTGAGACTCGTGTGCGTGGCTTTGACAGCTAGTTACTTAGAATTGAAGTATTCCTCCGCTTCGAACCGGCCGCGCTCACACAGCAGTGTGGCGGGTTCTCGCCTGACGTAGTTCATGTCGTTTTAAGAAGTGATTGTTTTTAAAGTGTAGACGAGATCGATAGGTTGGACCATGGACATATCTGGCTTCTGCGGTATCTGTAGTCTTTCAGATCTCAAAGCACTTGTCTGTTAGTTTTTTCTCAGCACCAGTCCTCTGAAGATTTTTTTTTTTTTTTTTTTTTTTTTTTGTTCCTCCTTTGTTCCCACCACCCTTGAAACCCATCTCGGCTGTCCTTGTCCTGTCCATGGCAGAAGCACCGATGCATCATTTGTCCAGTTGTCTTTGTGGAACAGTCGTGAGCCACAGAATGTAATGTAAGCTAACGGTGCTTTCAGCTGCCTGTGTCAGCCTTTCCAGTGAGCGTTTTTTTTTTTTTTTTTTCTTTTAATAAAGCGGGTATATATATTTTTTGGTGGGGGGGATTAGATGGGTGGGTGGGTAGGGGAGGGAGGTTCCACTGAATACATGGAGTGAATTTTAAAGCTTTACATGTTGTCCTCTGCAAAGGCTCGCTGGCAATTGCCGATACAGATGACTGGAGCAGTTTTCCTTGTAGGACTGTTTTGAGCCACATGACGACAAAACTTTCCGCAAACATCCCTGTTCCAATAAATTGCTCTAGAGGTGTTCCATTTGTCTGTCAATGCCTGTTCGGGCTGTTTTGAAATCAATGCTGTGACTTTTTTTCCTTTTTTTTTTTTTTTCTTTTTTTTTAATAAGCTGTATACAAATGTGCTGCTGGGTGGTTTCACTGAGATCCTGCCCAGTTTATTTCATGTAGATTTGATTGATTAAAAAAATCCGTCGCACAGATTTGCTTTACATTGTTACAAGTGTGAGAGCAAAACGGTCTAGAAAAATTCCTGCAATAAACCCAACCCTACACTGAGAGACTGGACGTCGTGGTTTGAGGTATATTGTCAGTATTAAAAATATATATTTCCATGTTTTTACCTTTCAGATATTAACGTTAGTCCATAAGCATTTAAACTCTTCCATCAGACCGTTTTGGATTTAGCTGGAAGCTAAAATTGCGGGTAAAATAATTGTATTTATTCACATATTTAATGTAGCCATCAAAGTTACAGCAGAGCTCCACGAAACTGCGTATTTTCGATGACCTATCGTCTACTAAACACAGGTTCAGTCATCGCCTAAAGTGTTGATCCCTCCTTGGTTTGCCCCTCTGCGCATGCGCACAGCGGTAAGTCTTCCGCTTCAGTATTGCTCATTAAACGTTACGTTACGTCAACGATGGCGGAGATCCACGAACGTCGCGGTAAGCTCGGCAACCGAAGCTCTCCAGCCAGAGGCGCATCCTCGAGGACGCAGCGCGAGGCGTCTGGTGACGACTCCACCGTTCTGGCGAAGCTGTTGGCGGCGGGCTTTTACGGGGTCAGCTCGTTCTTCATCGTTGTCGTCAACAAAAGTGTCCTCACGAACTACAGGTAAAGTTAGTGCAAAGTTCAAGGACCAGCTCGTGTCAGAATTCCTCCACACGCCTTCATAGTTGTTTGGAAATGTGAAAACGAAGGGTTTTCTACCGTTTTACCTTTTAAGAAACAATATCCGCCAACGAATATGCCCAGAAGGAAAGAATCGGATTAGTTGTTTTTGTATTTGAAAAAAAAAAAAACTATTGCCCTTTAATGCAACTTTCCTGTTTAATGAGCTTCGTCATTTCAGCCAATGTTATGTAATTCATATTAATATTGTTGGCCTTTTAAAACAAGAACTACTAACTGAGGAACTCAAATTTTCACAATTAAACTTATTTATTTACTGTGGGAGTTTTCTGTTTACCAAGATTTGCTGTAAATGAGCAGTAAGTATTGTCATTTTTATGTAGTGCCAGGGCTATTTTAGAAACACTTAATAAGACTTATTTCCATATTATAGCCAGGAAATTATCCAGATATTGATCTTTGAATGTGCGTACTGGAAGAATGTAACTTCTGTGTCTTGAAGTCTAAAATAAGACATGGACCAGAGGCCACTGAAAACTGAGAAGCTACATTTTTCATCTCCCTCCGTTTCATAGTTTCCCATCGTCGACATGTGTCGGACTCGGCCAGGTAAGTGTGTCAGGAGCCGAGCAGACGACGTCTGCTTCTTGTATCGTAGAAAAACCTGACGTGCGGCGTCCATCTTGCAGATGTTGGCCACCATTGTGGTCCTGAGGACTGGGAAAATGTTGGGCGTCATCTCGTTCCCAGACCTAGATTTGAGTATACCACGCAAGGTGAGTAGATAATCCCTTTTGGGAGGGGAAATAAATTCTCAAGGCAGAGAATACAAAGCAGCTTGTAACGCTTCACATGTGGCCCGCTCTTCCAGATGTTCCCCCTGCCTCTGCTGTACGTCGGGAATCAAATATCGGGACTGTTTGGAACGCAGCGACTGAAGTGAGAGCTTTGGCGTGTACTTTTACAGGACGTGGTGCCAAACAGAATCTAAATTTGCGTCTCCGTGTGCCCAATGTTCTACTTTTCCACCGCAGCCTACCCATGTTCACAGTCCTGAGAAGATTCAGTATATTTCTCACCATGGTGTTTGAGGGACTCCTCCTGAAGTAAGTCTAACTTTCCCACTCCCTCTGCTTATTTTAGCCAGAGTGCTGCTAACCGTTCCCTCGCTCCACAGAAAGACTTTCTCTGCCCCCATCAAGATGACGGTGTTCACCATGATCTTCGGGGCTTTTGTGGCCGCTAGGTGAGATGACCACAATGGCTAACCCTGACGCCCAGTCTCTGTTTGGCGTGTCTTTTTGTATTTTTGTTTTCTCTTTTTTCTAGCGCTGACTTGGCTTTTGACTTTGAAGGATACGCGTTCATTATGATGAACAACGTTCTGACGGCAGCCAGCGGCGCTTATGTGAAACAGAAACTCGACTCTAAGGTGAGAAGAGAGGCACACCAACCCCGTGGAGGGACCTGTTTGACTAGAGGACCTTTGACAATTAAAGGCTGCTCTTTTTTTCTTTTTTTTGTAGGAGCTGGGCAAATACGGGCTTCTGTATTACAACGCTTTGATCATGATTTTCCCCACTTTGGCATACGCTTACTACTCAGGAGACTTACAGGTGGTAAGTTTCAGAATGCAAATCTCACTATCTTTTTTTTTTTTTTTTTAAGTTGATGTTCTTTTTTTTTTTAATGGGATCAAATAAAGAATGCAGGTATTCACAAATCTCATGAAACATTGTAGGATGGATTTTTCTAACAGTGCTGTTAATATAGATGCAGTGTGCAGTTTGCATGGTCTTGCTGAAATATGCAAGATCTTTCCTCCCATGTGCCGTGAAAGCTTTTTAGATCCATGAGCTTGGATTCTTAGCATGTTGCCGGCTTCATGGACACAAATGGACCCTCATGCCACCAGAGCTGATTTTGCCCCTCTCTTTAGTCCAGAGAACGCTGCATCCATTAATTTTATTTGTTGTTTTCTTTTTAAATAATACAGTATTTCAACTGCAAGCAACAAAAGCAACCACTCTCCCTTACAAGTGCAATAATTTAAATACAAAGGAAAATGTCTAGATTTGACAAGGATTTATATCAGATAGTTTACGTGAAAAACCAAGTCCATTTTCTCCCTAAAACCACAATGCAGTGGCAGACAGTGGTCAGAGGATCCAAAATGCAGTTCCAGGGTCCTTTTATCTGTCATTCCTGATCATATGATTGGCTGAAGAAGACTTACAATTAGCAGAGAAAAGGATCCTAACACACGTTCTTGCAGGAAATGTGTCATTTTTTTAAGTAATCTTTTTCCATTACTTCACTTTACCTCAGTGCATTTGAGCTTTGGCCCAGGAAAGAGGGAGATGTTTCATACCTGTTCACACATGGAGTAAACCTGCATTTGCGGATGGAACAGGGATCTGTGTCCACAGACAAATGTCAGCTTTTTGACACAGTTTATTGCAGATTAACGAGCTGTATTGAATGACTCTTTCGGACTTCTGTAAAATGCTCTTTTTAGTTTATTTTCCTGACCTGGAAGTCAGTAGTCTGCCCAGCTTTTTATGTGTTGTGTTGCTGCCATTAGATCCAAAACAGGCTCATCACTCAAATTAAGATGTTACATTTTAAATGTGTTTTGGACATAACATCCATCAGTTAGACTTAATGTCCCATCTGTGTGTGTGTGTGTGTGTGTTTTTGGGCAGGGGCTGGAGTACAGAGGCTGGTCCGATCACCTGTTTGTGCTGCAGTTTGTGCTCTCCTGTGTCATGGGGTAAAGCCGATGCCTAACCCGCCCTCCATACTTGCCGTATGCAAGTAGCTGATGTCACCCCGCGTCTCATCTCTCCCTCTGTGTGTGTGTGTGTGTGTGTGTGTGTGTGTGTGTGTGTGTGTGTGTGTGTGTGTGTGTGTTGCACAGCTTTGTTCTGATGTACTCAATCATGCTGTGCACGCAGTGCAACTCGGCGCTCACTACCTCCATCATCGGCTGCATTAAGGTAAGGCCGTTTCATGCCCTTTCCGCAGCAGCACACGTTCAAAAGCTAACACGTGCCATCATTTCCTAGAATATTCTGGTCACCTACATTGGAATGGTGTTTGGTGGAGACTACATATTCACTTGGGTCAACTTTATAGGTTTGAACATCAGGTAAAATAGTTTTTTTTTTTTTTTTTAAGCCTGTACTGTTTTGATTTATTCAAACAACCAGACGCTTAAATTTCTGATAGATACAAACTTCCTGGTTAAGAAGCATGTTAATGCCACGTGGGAACATATTGGTTCAGAAACTAGGAGAACATTGTGTCCTCTGCTTTCCTTGCAGCATTGCTGGAAGCCTGGTGTACTCCTACATCACCTTCACACAGGGGCAAACAAGTAAGGCCAGTTGAAGTAACTTGAATCTGTCTTTGAATTCATAGTTTGATAGGCAGGTCTTGAAATTAGGCGAAGATAGAGTTTGTTAATTACTGTCGCTATAGATTTAAGAAAAACTGGAAAATTAACAAACTGGGTGTAATGAGAACAATTCAGCTCTTAAGGACGCGGTTGTTGCTGATCATCAAAAAGGAACGTTTCATACGGTCTTTTCCAAATTCTTCATGTGTAAGATCATCCACAAATAGAAAACAATATCAGATGGAGGTCAGACCGTATGTGAAAGCTCAGCAGCTGCATTTGTACAGCCTTCAGTTACCTCATTGAATGTTAAAAATTTAATACAATACAATTTGGGAAAGGACTCCAGCAGTTAAACTTGTTTGGAAAGGTTACAGGGGAAAATAGCCTTTTTTTTTTATTTATTTAAAAAAGTTAAGATGCTTGTTTGCGATTTAGATTAATACTCTATGTTTGTGCAAAACCAAACGGCATATCAACACAAACGCATCCTACCAGCTGTCGGCACGGTCGTGGAGGGCTGATGATTTGGGCTTGTTCTTCAGGCAACAGGACCTGGACACTTAATAATTCATTGAGTCCATCATGATCTGCTCTGGCTCCCTTTGAACCAAAGGTGAAGCCCTCTGTCGCACAGCCTAAAGCTCTGCTGATAATAATTAAGGCGTTCTGGACCTTAACCTATAGACGAGAGATTAAGAGGGCTGGGCAGGACAAATGTCAGCAACCTGAAATAGCAGAAGCAAAGGGAGCGCCACAAAATTCCTTGATGATCACAGAGTTGGAAAGAATTCCAACCATCTGAGCTCGTATTAGCATTATCTTAATCAGGCTCTGTGTAAAACGTTGTTTTAAAAACAAAAAAAGAGGCTGTAATTTTCCCGACCCAATTGTAGAGTTAATCTGAAATGTTTTGCATCCTGTTTAATAGAAAAGGAGTAACTCATGGAGTCCAAACACTGATGGAAGGACACCCTGCACACATGGCATCAGCTTACCATGAGGGGAAATCATCTGTTCCACAGCTGGATTCGTGTTTTTCAAAGATTTTATATTTTTTAGCATATATGAAATTATTTAGACAATTATCACATGTAATGTATATTTTTTCTATCTGTAATTGATGTTTTAGAAATCATTCCAACTTTTATATAGATTAAATTCAGATATATTTTATTTGAACAAACTAACTTGTAACTGATAGTTTATGTGCTGTTCATCTTTCACCATCTACTCTCCGAGTAAAGACAACTCAAACTCATTGATAGGTTTATTAAATTAATCCAACATGATTCCATTCATCGGCAGTCTGGGAATACATTTTGTCATCATTTACAGGAGAAAACAAAAACTTATTTTAGACAAACTTAAACGTTTCTGAACCCTTAGTCCAAAGCTGGCGCACAAAAGCATTAATGTCTGAAGCCGAATGTTAAATGTACGGAAACAAGATCAAACCATCATGTCAACCAGGTCTGTTTGAAACTGATCCGAAGCCACTTGCTTAAGAACACTTGAAACAAAGCAACGAGATGTTTTATTGAGTTGTTTTATTTAAAACCGAAAGGCAAGCAAGTACAAGCAATCACAAAGTGGCTTCTCTGCGACCAGCTTTCTTACCGAGGGGCTCGGGACCTGGAAGTACGGCCAAACTATGAGAAAGGAATGGCTTCTTTACATCATCCATCTCAGAGAAGCATCAGCACAGTACAAACCTTCCCCCAAACCCCTCCCAAAAAAAAAAAGAAAAGAAAGAAACGGCCTACATGGAAGACCAGAAAAAAAGACAAATGTACCAACTGTTCAAGGTAAGAAATCTATACAAACTTTACAAAAAAAAAGCACAAACATTCTGTCTAGTAGAAACAAAGCGTTGAGTGAAGCACCGACTATGAAAATTCGAAATGACAAAAGAGATCTACATGATGAGTTGATATACAGGACATCACTGATGTCAGCGGCTTTTCGCAAACAAACCCCTGGGTTTATTCATCAGTCCAACAAACGGCTCTGACAAAAAGAAGTGAGGGAGTGAACATCGTTTCTGCTGGGTGGGGGGGTCACTCCACTTTAATAATGACGGGAAGCGATCAAAGTGCAACTACGGCGAGCCAGTGGGGGGGGGGACGGCGGCCCCTGCTCCTCCCGTCTTTGTCCGATTAGCGTCTCCGTGAAAACTTACAATCAGAATCATTTCATCGCGTGGCCCGTTTTGCTCGATCCTAAACGGGAATGGTTTGGGGAGCAAGAAACCCATTCCGATGTTTTGTGTGTTTTTCCTTTATTTTTTTGGTTAAAAATATAAATATCTCTAGTGTAAAAAAATATCACTGGTGATTTATTTTAAGTACAAATAGAAAAAAAAAAAAAGAGGAAATTCTAGGGAAAAAAATTTTTCCGTCTCCAAAAAAGGAATGAAGGGGATTTTTTTTTTTTTGTATTTTTTTTTTTTTTGTAGAGAGAAATGTCGCTGTGTGGCCGTGGAGTGAGTCTGGCAGACAGGACAGAACGCCGATGGGAAGGAGGCGTGGCGGCGGCGGCTTCTCACCGCCCGGCGTGACTGGCTGCCGTTTGGTTGGCTGTGATTTTAGGGGACCTTTGCACTTCTCGAAGCCAGACTTTTATTTTATTTTCTTCTTTTTTTCCAAAGAGGAAGTTTGGTGAGTCAAGCGTGTGTCGAGTCTGCGCGGCCGAGCCCCCCCTCGGCATTTAGTTCTCGTGTGTTCTGGATGGTTCCATCTCGCTCTGGCCTAAAGGCTCGGCCTCTGTCCTGCACCTCTTGGCCGGCCTTTCGTGTGCTACCGCCGCTGTGTTTTTGTGGTCGGGGGGAGGCTCCAGGGAGCCGTTTGTGTTGTGGCCGGGCGCGTCCGGTGGGCTGCAGCCGTTGGAGTTGCTGTCCGGAACTGGCGGGGGGGCTTCCCCCGCCGCCACTGGTTGAGAGGGACCGTTGGACTGAGCTTCCACAGGTTTCACTTGATTTGCTGGCGGCGACTGAAAGCTGTCCACGAGGTGGCTCGCAACGCCTGTAACAAGAAGAATAAAAATTTATATTTACGATTGTTGTACGCCAACAAAAAACTATTTCCCTCATGTGTGACTACCAATGTGAAACGTTAAGTGAGTATATTTGATAAAAGCGTTCCTCTGGGTTTAAATGGCTCACCGTTCTGACTGCTGCTGTCTTCTCGCTCTGAGTGGCTGGCGCTGCTGCTGGAGGTGGTGGGCGGAGGCGAGGTGGCTCTGCTGGAGGTGGCGCTCTCCGTCTCATCCAGCAGTCTGTCCATGTAGTCTCTAATGACACACAGCCAACATTCCCCTTCAGACACAATCGGCTTTCAGCCCCGGTTGTCCTGCGGTGCTTTGCTTGTCATCGGTTTATGTCGTTACGGCCAGGAAAAGTCGCACAAAACTAGACTCACTACCCCCAGAGCTTCTTTTTATAAGGGTTTAGTTCAGTCATTGACCCTCTCAATATGTCCACAATTTCAAAATAAACAAATATCTGTTCTTATTATAACATTATGATTATATCTCTATTATTATTATCATTAATCCCTAGTCATGTGGGAAAAGTCTCACAAAGATGAAAGTCAAAAGTAACATAGCTTTCTTATGAAAATGCACATCAATAGAGAAGAGAGATGCCACACTTTCTAAATCACTTCCTCTCCATGATACTTATCTATTACTTGTGTTTCCTTTCACATTAGAAGACAATTATTTAGAAGCAGGTTTGTATTTTGGCTTTAACCCCCGGAGACCCTCATCCTCATAGGAGGACATTACATTTTTGCTTCCCTTTCCCACGATACTTAATTTCTTTTCTCTACTCTGACCTCCTAGTCATGTTTGAAATCTATAATAAAATGGTTTCATTCATTTTCAACCAATCATCTCCTGATTGTGTAATTCAAATTTAGTAAATAAGTCAATAATAAGTAAATAATACATAAATAAATAAAAAATTTAAATACAAAAGATAAACCCCTCTGTCCATATATTCAGAAAAACTACCTAGATCATGACAGAGTCTAGTTATTAAAGTTGTTAGGTTCTATTAATCACATATATGTAAAAGAAAAGGGTGAAAAAATGTGCACCAAATAAAATGTGGGTCTCAGGAGGCGAAATCACCGAAAACACCCCTCAAACCGTAGAAATTTCCAACTTCAACACGTAAACGTAAAACACTCCCGTTGTCTTTTGCAAATACGCATATCTTTGAAAGCAGACTTACGTGACACCGGGGTGAAGGTTGTATTTCCTTTTTCCAAGTCTGGTTTGCTGTGCAAAGAAATCATAACGCTCAGACTTCTTCCACATGTAATAAAAGGCCACACATTCTCCTACAGACCTAGTTCTCACCTGAAAGATTTAATTCAGCAGACATGAAATGACCATTATTACCATCATCTGAAGAGGCAATTTCAATAGAACTTTAAATGATAAATCATGACTTGGAATTAGCAAAAAATATATATAGTGTTCACACTAAATTAACAGATTTCATGAATGCTGTTGATCGCTGGTCAATATGAAACACTTCTCTTACCTTGTTGGCCTGTATTAAATGAAAATCTTTCCCGTAGGCTTTTAGTCCTTGTTCAAAGTTCCTACATTCCTCTTCGGTCCAGACGGATATCTCCTCTGTAGAAAAGGGGGCGATAGTTTGCAGTGAGATTGGGAAAACCAGTCATAAGGTGTATGCACACTTTTTTTTCTCCTTTTTTTTTTTTTAAATGTGAAACTGACATAAATCTGACTGAAAAGTTAATAATTGGGACTTCCATAATGTGGGGACCGGAGTCCATCCCCTGTAGGATTAAAGTGTGAAGATTTGATTTTTATCATTTAGTCAACAGTTACAGTAAAGCCGGGCGTACACTGTGCCATATTGTCTATCGTTGCTCATAGCTCCAGCTCAAACTGCACAACCAAATCAGAGGGGCTAAAAGTTTTCAGATCACGATTTACGTTCACACACCATACGACCGGATACTCTTATGTATTATCTGACCGCTCACACTGTACGTCCAAAAACCCGCATCAGACTTGAAATAGAAGACGAAGTTGAACAACACGGGAGGAATATGAGGGTCACCAAAACTAAATGCGCTGCGATTGTGTGTGCCGAAAGCTTTAAAAAGAACAGAAGCCGGCGTATTGTGACTTTTATTACTAATATTGTGCAGCAATCTCTCCCCAAGGCTGAGCCTGCCAGAGTTCCACAAGTTGTGCTTCCATTGTTTGATTCCGAGACGCACGAATAGCTGCCCTGATACTCGGTGTCACTTCCGCTTTGTTTGCACAGGCGCAGTGCCAAAGACGGAGGGGAATCGGGTCGTACGCGCTCCTAAAATTGCTTCAATAACACGACTCCCTCACAAGGGCCGACCAGAAATTCAAACCGGTTTGATTTTCATCCGACTATAGGATTGTGGATCGGGAGGTGGTCGTGACAGGTTAATCGCCTCTCGTTACCCTGAATATACTACACGATGTGAGACGCACGAGTGAAAAATCGTGTCAAAAAGGGGTAAAAATCGCACAGTGTATGCCCGGTTTAAGGTTACCATTTGGGATGTTATAAACCAGACTAGTTCAAGAGTATTCTGACTAAAAAGACAGCTGGACAAACATGTAAAAAAATCAAGTCTTATTTTTATTCCCTCAGATGGAGCCACACTAAATAGGGCCACAGTGTGCATAGAATGTTCTAAGAAACAAAATCAAACAAGAAAACTGAAAAAGGTCTCTTTACCTCTGGCCGCTTTTACATTAAACCTCAGTCTTCTTAAAGCTTCTTCTGTGTCAAAGTCACATTTCACCAGTTCATACAATGCCTGTGGGATAATGAACAACAACACTCCCGTTAGTCATCTAATCAGAAACAGATTAGGGGGTAGGTCTTTACTCCCACGCATTAGGCCTGCTGGCTCACCTGTTCGTTGTCTTTGATATGAGATCCCTCTGGGATTGCGTCCACCCCCGTCTCGTCCCCTGTCCGCCTTGATGCTTCTGTCAAGAACTCTACAACTTTGCCCTCAGGAAGACATTCAGGATTCCACAGTAGTTGGTCGTCGTTTTCATACACTATAAGACAGATTAAAGCAAAAGAAAACTAAAGTACAGTGGCATTGTATTTACCCAACAGGCTTTGGTTGATCTGACGTGTCAAATGGCATTGTGCTGTCATTGCAAAAAATAAATAAAATACATATGTATATAGGATTTGTTTTTTTTAATGGCAGCATAGATACAACAAAGGCACCCGAAACTAGGCCATGTGAGAAGGTGAAATAGAAGGGATAAAGTATGCTAAACAAATACAGAACAAGAATAAACATCAGAAAGGATTTTACCGCCGCAGAGAATGCAGAGGAAAAAAAAGTTGAAGGATGGTTGTAGGGCTGGATTCATGTTCACCGTTACTAAACGATAACTGATCAGCTCTCCTGTTCTGTTTCATTTGTTTGAGACTTTAGGTGAAGTTTAAATTCATGAAAGGAAAAGAATCATCATAATTTCTCCCTGTCCTAATATATACATGTGTGTGCGTGTAAATACAACTGAAAACATTCTTTCACAATGTTTTTAGCCAACACACAGCCCGGTAATATATTCAAAATTAAATTATATTAAAAAATGAAGTGTCTATATCATGAATAAAGCACAGGCCTTATTCTTTCGGTTGGTTCTTTTATTAGCCTCTATGACAAAAAATTCACAAGCATATAGCTGTGCGTGTAGAAGGCTCAGATGGAGGTTTGTCTTAGAGAAACAATTGTTCAAAGATACTTAAGTGAAAATCAACCAATCTTACCTTTCTCATTGTCTTTATATTTACACAGGCCCACAGGGGTCTCTGCCTGATACATGGAACCCACCATAATCTCCTACAGAAAAAAAGCATTTTTGACAGAAATTAAACTAACATTTCAATTACAAATAAAAAAACATATTTTATCCAGACATTATTTATAATTTTAGGAATATTTTCCACACAAAGTCAATTTTGGATGATTAGAAAACTCTGTTTTTTCTACAACAGAAACTACCTGAGAGAGATTCTGTGTTTGATGTCTGATATTGTCCACAAAAATATTTTGACAGCAAAGTTAAAGTGATAGCTGATATTAAAGTGATAGCTAAACTGGACAGCTTTTTATTAGGTAAATTAGGTGTGAATGATACTAAAAAATGTGAATTCAACTGGAATATCACAAAGGAAATATGGCGAGGGTAAATTGATGCACACCTTTTTCCAGTCTTCTGATGGAACGTAATCCTCATCTTCATCCGACTCTTCTTCAGCATCGTTATTAGCTGTAAAACAATGTGACAGTCAGCCAGCTGAGAAATAAATGATAAATAAATTCCTAACAAAAGGTAGCGTAAAAAAAAAAAAAAAAAAAAAGAATGACAGAGGTGAACAATTGGCAAGCACCTACTTTCAAAGTACTTGAGTTTCTGGGGACGAATGAGATCTGCGGTGCCGAGCGACCTGACTGAGCGCGTGCGGCCTTCAGATATGGCCGGCGCCTCACTCCCCTGTCCTGAAACCGGCTTGAAATCCTCCCCCTTAAAAATCAGTTGCATACAGAGACAGAATATGTTTTTCAACCAGGACGAATATCTGAACATATTTATCATATACCAAATATATATATAAACTATACAATACACTAAATACTATACAATATACTCTTTATACAAAGTACTACACAGTACCAAACAAAACACCAACATACCTCATTCCTTTTCAACTCGCCAGTGCTTCTGCTGCTTTCATCATTGTCAAGGTCCTCCTCTTCATCTTCTTCCTCATCATCCTCTTCCTCTGGTTCCTCCTCTTCATCGTCCTCCTCTTCCTCAGCGGGGGATCTGCCCCCGTAACCATAAAGACTCAGCAGCTGATGTATGGGCATCTCTGCCTCCTGTGAAACAAAAAGCAAAACATTGGCTTTTGTTTATAGAAAAACAAGGATAGCAATCCAAAAGATTCCAAACTTTGGCACAAATAGTTCTGCAGCGAGTGTTAAGTTTGATGAAAGGATCAAGGCGCACTTTATTCTCTGCTGAAGACGAACTAAGTAAATGTTTCTGCCATCCTAGATTTGACCAGATCGGTCAAAATATGCTTATGCGTTTAGCCAAACATTTGTATTTCATCAATATAAGTATTTTTTAGGTAAAACTTTTGTGTCTTTAAATATAACCCATAATAGCCCAGACCCATTTGTCCCTAAAGAGAAATTATTGGGTTTTGAAAACCGACCAGATTACTTTTTTTTTTTTTTTTTTAAATCTCAGGTACCACCACAAAATATCAAAGTTCCATTGAACATTTTTAATGTGTGTTTTAGTGGGTTCTTATGGGTTATAAACTAAACTGGATTAACAGCTAAACTGGCATCTGAAATTAGTAGAAAAATAAATAAATAAATACAATTTAAAAAACACGCAGGGCAGAAAAGACCCCTGTGACAAACCTGTGCAAGATCTTCAATCTCATTGGAATTGGTCTCATCTGCTGCCAACATTTCCTCTTCGTCGAGGGTGCGCTCATCATCAAAGTCATGAACAAGCATGTCAGCTGACGGATCGAAATCATGGTCGTCGGAACCCGCTGAACCTCCTGGTGAAGTGACAGCAGAAAACTCTGTTACAAACTCCATATGGAAAAGAGTTCGTTAGATTTAGGACAGTACATATCAGTTAGGATCAAATCATACATAGCTACTGTTTGTTAAGAAGCTGGTAAAAAAAAAGAAACAAATAATGAAAAAAATGTGTTTTTAAAGTTACCTTTTTTTTAATTATGGCCTATTACAGATGTGTTTCTGCTATATATACATATTTTTATTTTCACTAAATGATCACATTATTTTCTTATGAGCAGCAAATGTAGCTAAGAAACCAAACCCTTGTGCCATCTCCTCCTAAACCAACAGAAAACTCTAAACTAAGTAAGCTTACCTGGGCTCGAATTCCCGAGGGAGGGCTGAAAAAAGACAACAGGGGAGAAACATCATTAACAAAGTGGACGTTCAGCTCCAAACACCAACAGTATCCCGTACAATCCGGGCAAAGAGTCGCCGCTGTTGTAGTTTTGAGGTTCCAGAGGCAGAGGGGCGAAAATATGAGCTCGAAAAAAAGCGCGCACTGCGCTGGGTGTTTGATGAGAGAAACAAAGAATCCTGTGCTTCCTGCGGAAAAATATGCTTTGGATCTACAATATCTAACCGATGGTAATATCGTAGAAATCCCGATGTCCTATTAACACGTACAGGGGTAGATTCAACAGACAAGAGCGTTGAGAAAGTGCGTATTTTCTCAACTCGCTAACTTTAATTACAAGTTGTAAGCTAGTTAAATATCCTTAACACATTTTGCTAATACGTACAAGTTAACTTCTTTTCAACAGTCTTCAAAGAAAAAAAGAACAACGAGAACGTTAGAAACGCCGCTAACTACTAATAGTACACAGCAAGAATAAATACAAAAGTAAACGAGAAAGGAGAAGCTGCCTTAAACAAAACCGCGAATATTGCTTAGCCGCTGCTACCTTCCGAGGGGGTTTGCGCAGCTAATGCTAGCTAAATCCGAAGTTTACTAAACATAATTGAGTAAAGAAATGCCCACTATCTAGCAAAGCAAACAGCTGGCACTTAATTTTGTGTATAAAAACTACAGCGCGAAAATTATGCACACATTCGGTAGGACGAACAATCAAATTGTATAAATGTTTTTTTTACGAATATTATTTCACTTTCTTACCTCCGCCATGTTTGCAATCCTGCAGGGTCACGTCAGGGGTGAGCGGCAGTACCCGGATGTGAAGCCCCGCCCACCTGCGGTATCAACAACGTAACGCTTCCAGGAATCACAGGATTCAGTGGATGAAACAATACGTTTTATGTAATCTGATGCAAGCGAGGGCAATTAATACCGTTTAAATTCACAAATAACATATATCGGGGCGATTAACTCAGGAAATTTTAATGTAACGATATCACATTTCTGTGTGAATTATGTGAATTACAGAGATAAATGGATATTTGTAGAATACCGACATCTTCAATGTTTATAGCTTGATAGTTTGAGGTGACTCTTGTCAGTACAGCATATCATGGAAGTTGATTTCTCTAAAGTTTTTCCATCAAAGAACATGGCATTTACTACATCGAGCTTACTTTTATTTTTCAAAGGAAAGGGGTACTAACCCTGTCACAAAGTGAATTCTCTGGTAGGTGCACATCCCTTGGCACAATGATGACTATTAGAAATCAATCAACCTTTAAATGAGTATGACTGCATTTCCAAGAAAGGACACTATGTCAAATAATCAAATTCAGAATGCAATGCTTTACAAATAGTATCAAGCATAAATCACCATAAAAAGAAATGTTGAAGGTAAGACAGCCTACTCTTATTGATTCAAATGCTTCTAATGTTTTTTTTTAGGAACAAAATTTCTAGCTACAGCTATTTGCATAGTATTCCCATAGTCACAAAATTTGTATTTCTTCATCTTTTTTCAGGATCTGTCATTTGAGATAGATATGACAACAACTTATATATGGTTTCCTCCTCCTAATTGATCCTGCCCGAATGATCAGTCTGCAATCACCACTAAAACATTCAGGGCGGTGCTCCTGCTGTCAATCCCTCTGATGAGACTTATGCCAGTTTGTCGCCGTCTGCAGTCCATCCATCCATCCATTTTCGTAACCACTTATTCCCTAATGGGGTCGGGTGGGGACTGGAACCTATCCCAGTGGTCAATTGTTGAGGCGGGGTACACCGTGGACGGTCCGCCAGTCCATAGCAGGGCCACACAGAGACACACAAGGACAAACAACCACGCACACCTAAAGGCAATTTAGAATGTCCAATCAACCTAACATCCAGACTTGTTAGACTTAACCTTATTTATCACTTGGAATTGCTCTTTCAGGGAATTTTGTCTGTTTTGATGTGGGAGGAAGCCGGAGAATCCGGAGAGAACCCACACAGACACAGGGAGAACATGCAAACTCCACACAGAAAGGTTCTGGTTCCCCTGGGGACTCAAACCCAGAACACTCTTGCTATGGCGCTAACTACCACACCACCGTGCCGCCCTTGTGCCGTCTGCAGTCATTTATCATATTTTAATTTCCCAAAGGGATCAATAAAGCTTCTGTCTGTCTGTCTGTCTGCCTGTGCTGAGTTGAGTCATGTGCTGGATTGAAGGGAGTCTTGGCATTTTTGGTGAGGTTTAGTCTTTGTTGCATGGATAAAAGCTCTGGGATTTCTACTATTTTTATATTATTTATATTACTGAATTTGAATTGAAGGTGGTTTTCTTACACCAGTGGTGAAGAGTGGCCGTACCTCTGTACACATCTCATGGTAGATGGTGTTAGGATTTGGTTATAAATACTCACTTTAGCATTGTTTGCTATCACATGATCTATGCATATTACTGATTGTTTTATTTTCTATTATAACTATATTTTGTGTTTAAGTCTCTGGCTGTGCCCACAGACACCTTCCTCTCTCTTTTTCTTTCTCTCCTTTTCTTTCCCTGTTGCATTATATCCACGTCTTTAAGTCAACACAAACACACACATTATTTGGTACCACATTCCAATGTTATCAACATGAATTACGACTCGGCTTGTTAGTCTTAGAGGTGACTAGCCAGTAGGACTTGGTTGTGTCCAGTCGTCCTTTTGAGGGGTGTGCCCAGCCCAGGAGACAAAGACCCATCACCCCCAGATCTCAGGGCTCTTTGCCGACTGAGACCCTGAGAGAGAGAGGTTTTCGTCTGTGAAGAGCCCAGCGCTGAAATACTTTACCTGTGACCCAATAAATGTCAAATTTTTTACTCTTGATCGACTCCGGTTTATTCTCAGGTTTCCAACTAAAGAATCGGGCTAACAGTGGCCTTTCCAACAGCAGCCCATTGACCCATTTCTAGTTTTCTGAACCATTTGAACATATTTAGACTTTTGTTCTTTATCTACCTTATCTACCGCATAATGGTAGAATCGTTTTTTTTTTGTTATGCTGAGTAGGGTTATCAAAAATCACAATGCAGAACTATTTATGCCCATATCTACTGGGGAAAAGATTGCACTTGCACTACTGAGTTGCAAGTATCGCTCCAGTCAAAGTGAACAAAAAGAACGGATAAAATGCCGAATCCCACAATGCAAAAGACATCACTTGTTTCTGTCATCAAACTCTTGGATAAAAACTGCTACCAAATTATATCGCATACAGTAAATACTTCACATTACCCAGGCTTTATGAAATGTTGAGATTAATTCTTACAGTATTATCAGTTTACATCATCGAATGACTGAACACAATGAGAATAAGATCCATGACACAATTTTTTTGTTTGCTTTTTTTATTTTTTCATTTGCAATAAGAAATAAAGAAAAAGAAGATGAAGGAGAAAAAATGTCTTACTTGCCCGAACCCACCTTCCCCAAAATCTAGTCAAACTCATTTTTGAAGAAGGTGTGATACGCTGCATACGACATGAAGCTACAAATGTCTTACTTGCCCGAACCCACCTTCCCCAAAATCTAGTCAAACTCATTTTGGAGGAAGGTGTGATACGCTGCATACGACATGAAGCTAAAAATGAAAAAATTTTGTGAAATCACATGAAAATGCATTTTCTGTCTGTGATAGGTCTCAGGAGGTCTGCAGTTACCACAAGCTTTTCAGGAAACTAACAGCCTTCTCCATCTTATTTCCAATCGCAGCAAAAAATCTTCTAATTTTTTTAGTCTTCTTGGTTCTTCTTTTGACATATAACTCATCTTTCAGAGTCGTAATTAGCACCATATCAAACTCTGTGCTGTCTTCTGCCACGGCTACATCCAGTAGGTTTTTCACTGAGCCAAATTTACTCTTGAGTGCCTCTATGCTGACATTCAGGGCATCTTTCAGGTTTTCTCCATACGCGGTGGCTTCACAGTTCTCTATATCAGTCGCTGGCCCCACCAAGAATAAAAGCCTTCTCTTGATTTCGGTGATGTCGTCTTTGAAATTTTTGTGGTCGGTTTCACACTTTGACAAAAGCCTCAGGAGCATCGCCATGGCCAGGCTGTTGGCCAGCGTCTCAGCGGAGAGTTCAGGCGACTCTCTGCATGCCTGGGGTAAATTCTCTTCTTCTTCATAGGGTGACTCTACAATCATTTCATCAGCCACACTCTTCCCATCCTCAACCTTCTCATCCTCAACCTCTTCGGTTTTGTCCACATCCTCATCCTCTTGGTTAATAACAACGTCCTCACCTTGTTCACCAGCTTGGGACAGATGAATGGAGGGTGGTGCTGACTCTTGGGAGGACTCAGATTCAGCCTTTGTTTCTTCCGGGGTTGGGATTCCCACTTTCAGAAAGTTTTCGATATCTCTAAGTGCTCCTAATGCGTTTTCGTTTTCAGCAATTGGCTCTGATGTGTCTTTGATCATGAACAGCAAGATCTGCTGGACAAACTTGCCAACAGCATCTTCTGTCATGGCGTACAGTACCTCTGGAGAGAAGCTCCTCTGATGCCCGTCCATTTTCTTTTCCATCTTGGAGATGACGGAGTCCGACAGACATCTACCCTTCGGAACAATTGGCATGTGATAGATGTGCTCAGTCATCAGATGGTCATACATCTTGTCTGTTAATTCTTTGGAAAAGTTTTTGACTTCACTGCACTTAGTAATAGAGTCAAGCCGCATGTGGAACTCTTCTTCTGACAAGGTCATTTCTGTCATTAAGTCATCAAGGTTCCTTTTGAAGGTGTCAAAATTCATTTCACAAGTCCAATTTTTTACCACAGTCTTCAGTCTCTTCTGCCTAGTTTCTGATGATGGCTTGCTTCCTCGCAACGAAAAATCCAAGGCTCCATCCTGCGGGGATCTCGGATCATTCGCCAAATTTACGACTGACTGTTCGTCCTTTTTCTTACACATGTTCTTCAGATCTTCCTTCAGTTTGTTAAAGTATGTTACAGTGAATTTGCAGATGGATTTTTTCTTCTGTTCCGTTTCATCTGTTTTCGCTGAAGGCACCATCAGGTCCCTCACTTTGTCCACGATCAACATCATGTTAAAGTGGGGTGCCTGTGGAGCCCCGCTCTCGCTGGATCTACCGGGTTCTTCTTTTTCCGGAGTTTTCACCTTATCCAGGATGATGTTAACTATTTCAGCTGCCGCACTCTTCGCTGATCGACTGGGGCTGGGGGGTGGGACGTGAGCACTTTCCTGGCCGCTCTTTGGTGCCTCCGGTTCAGACCATTTGCTTACGATGTCACTAATGCACTCAGTTACTGACTTCACTGAGACTGGGGATTTGGGGCTGGTGGATATGAGACACAGCTCATCGCTGACTTTGATCCATTGTTTTCCAAATTTGGTGTTTGGTGAAGACAAGCACCCTTTTAAATATCTAGCAGCTTGAGATACCATGTGGCCCAAGCGCTTGATGTTTGAGGTGATTCCATTAACAAAAAGAGCTGGTTTGGATGGCAGATTCTCCTGTTTAGCTGCCTCAGACAGATATGACCGCACTTTCTCTTCAATCTCCGCCTCTGCCAATTCCGTAAGCTCTTTGCCTTCCTCCTGGTTTTGCTGTTCAGAGTTAAAAAAGCTGCGGAAACTTTCAAGTAAAGAGTCTCCCAGATTTGGTTTAACACTTGGCAGAGACGGTTCAGTGCTCTCACTGTCTTTAGAGGACATTTCCTGAAATTTTGGCAGTATCATTTTTAGCAAAACTGTCGACACAGTCTGAATAATGTCCGTCAACAGCCCCGTAATGACGGCTTCCAGCTCGGATTCCATTTCCCCAGAAGCCAGCATTGCCCACTGGGCAGCTGAGACATTGTCAAAATGTCTTTTAACCAATGGATGAAGAATCTCTTCGGAGATGAGGATAGTTTCCACGTTGGATCCTTTTTGTTCCATTTTTGGTGTTTAATTTTTCCTTTTCTTTGACTTGGAGTAAGCAAACCTTTGGTGCGTGCGCTCAGTTCAGTAGTGACTCTGATATGCAGTTCTTCAGAACGTAGAGCCTATACCTTCTGTGGCCACGTGCGTCACATTGACGTAATGAAGACAGTTACCTCTGTGACGTCAGTAACGACACGGGTTCCACACGTGGGAGCGCGGAGGGGGGAGGGGTGGAGGGGAAGGGGGGTCAGGGGGAGGGCTGACCCAAATCACGTGACAATTACCGCGAGATTATTCCTGTGCGTAACCCAACGCTGGAGTGGCTCGTCCATCGCTAATTAGCGGTCAGCACCAAACAGGTCTCGTGTCTGCGAAGTGCCCGACCCCTAAAATTGCGGCCACCTGCAGAAAATAACTGCGCACTGCTTTTCTGTGTCCTGCCCCTTCCAGAACTCTAATGAAGGCTGCCAGAAAATATTAAATAAAGTATTTAACAGATTATAAGAACTCGTTGGTGATCATTGTTATCCTCCTTAATATTTACCCCAGTTTCTACTTTCATTTTGCTAAATATTAATCTAGTGCTGCATGTATTCACAAACTATAAGAAATCTATCTATCTATCTATCTATCTATCTATCTATCTATCTATCTATC